AGCAGGCTAGCTTGACTAATTTCTGTAGGCTGTGGAGTGTAGGATATGGTCCTGGTATTCTCATATCTGGTCTTAGAGTTATTGTACAAAGGAATCATGGCCCCTAGTGGGACCTCCATAAATGAGGTGATGGCATGTAGGCTATGCCATGGCTGGCTGGTACGGGAAGGGCACAAGCTAATGTGAGCCTTGGTTATCTGTAGGAGGGATGCTATCTCAGAGACAGCATGACCCACATGTCAAAACACACAATATGGAAAATAAATTACAAGGCTACTATTCGTCCTTAAGAGGCGCAGCCTGAAGTGGGCCCAGAAAGCAAGGCAGATGAAACTGGAACAGAAACTCAGACCTTGGCCTCTCAGCTGTAAGAGGAGGGGTCGGATGTGAGATGATGGAATGGAAAAGCAGGCTGAGAAAGAAGCAGCTGCTCTCGAAGGAGAAGGAAAGCGTGGTCAAGAATGGAAATCCCGGCAGTTCTGAGGGAGGCCCAGGCGCTGGGCTTGGGGGTTAGCATGGAATCATGGTGAGAATGATCTGGCTGACTGAGTGTGCTGGGAGGCACTAGCCTGGAAACAATAGTCACATTCAGCAGCAAGTCCCTGCCCCACATCCCAGGAGATGCTGGTAATAGTCAGAGGCATTTTCAATTGTCACAACTTGGACATGAGGAAGAATTATACTGTTAGAATGCAGTAGGCAGAATTCAGAGGTGCAGCTAGACATGGTAGCGACCGCCTTTAATCCCAGAAGAGACTAAGGCAGAGACAGGCCGATCTCTGTGAATTCGAGACTAGCTTGGTCTACATAATGAGTCCCAGGATAGCCAAGGCTACATAGTGAGACTCTGTCTCAAAAGAAAAAATCAGGGATACTGTAATATAGAGATAGCTGTCCCACTCCTAGCCTTACCAACAAAGAGATGTCCTGTCTGAATGTCAGAAGTGTCTGAGATAGAGGAAGGATTGATGAGGGAAAGTACAGGGATTTGATTGCCAAATTCTTCAGGATTCCATGTTCTCTGAGACTTGACTTGAGGCAGAAAAGGAGAAAGGGTGGCATCTGGTATTGGTAAAGTATTTGGCTCCTCTAAAATTGTCAGTCAGGGACTCTGGACAAAGGAGGGAGATGTTGGTCTAAGGGCACAAAGATCAGTTAGGCAATTTTGAAGCTCCATTTTGTAGCACAGTAACTACAATTAATGCCATTTGGAACCAAACACAATGTCCTACACCTATAGTCACAGCTATTCAGGAGGCTGATGCAGAAGGATCACAAATCCAAGTCCACCTGGACAACATGGCAAGAATTTGCTCAAATAATTATAACAACAATAATGTATACTTGAAAATTGCTATCAGATTGATGTTCTATGTTCTTTCCACCAAAAAACAACTATTTGAGATAACAGATATATGGATTATCTTAGTCATTTCACAATGTATACACATATCAAGGCACCACAGTAGACATGATGGACACACTCATTCGTCAGTAATTGTGGGTAATTGACTGTAGGACTCTCCCATAGATACCTAATCCCACAAGTGCTTGAATCCCTTATATAAAGTGGTGCAGTATTTGCCTATGATCTAGGCACATCTTTCCATATACTTTGGATTCATTACTGCTAATTTCTAATGTAAGTGCAATGGTGTACTATTTGGGTACCAACAAGAAAAATGTCTGTTCAGCATCAGTAAACACACCCACACAAAATTGTGTTGTTCTTCTAGACATGGTTTCTCTGTATAACAGTATTGGCTGTCCTGGAACTCACTCTGTAAACCAGGCTGGTCTCAAACTCAGAGATCTGCTTGCCTCTGCCTCCTGAATGTTGGATTTAAAGTCATATGCCACCATTGCCCAGCTGACACAAAAATTTTTAAGTATCTTAAATTGGTTGAACCCACAGGTGTAGGACACATGAACACAACACATAATTTCTGTATATACATATATACAAGTATACATATATATAGAGAGAGAGCGAGAGACAGACAGAGAGAGACAGAGACAGAGACAGAGACACAGAGAGAGAGAGACAGAGAGAGAGAGGTAAACTGGGAACTTAAGAAGAGGGGGACAATGAAGAATCCTTGTGGTATCCCTGAAACTGTACTTCATGAGGGGTAGAAACTGTATATGTTCAGCTTTGCCAGCAGCCCAGCTATGTTATTCACAAAATTTTGTTGAACGAATGATTTTTAAATATTAAATTAGATGCAACATCCTCCTTACCTGGAGCCCTTGGACGTCCCCCGTGAGCTGGATTTGCCCTATGCATAGCCAGTGTTTTAGATGGTGATGACGACAGAGCATTCTCCAGAACCTATTGTCTCATCTCACCCTTCACATACCCTCCTGGGCCCCAGCAAACACTTCGATAATACGCTGCCCCTTTTTAATCCATTTCTTTAACTTTGTGTTTATGTGTTGGTACTTCCGTATATGGATACAATATATTCAGATCATGTCCAGCAGCACTCTATCACGGCTCCCACTCCTAGAGGACCCCGCCTGCCATACATCCTCCCAACTTCATGTTTGCTTTTTCCTCCAAGTGCTTTCCTCTCTTATCTGGTCTTTTCCAGAGGGAGATGCAAGTATCCCCACTATTCCCCACATGACGTGGGGTGACTTGAGGCATTCTCTGATACGTACTTCCTCATGATGGTTTTGTGTGTTTTGTAAATAAGTACATGGCCCTGACATCATACCTCTGTTTCCTGGATGGTCTTGTTTAGGACAAAGGTGCATTTTTAAAATGAGTCCATTCTAAAGTTTAAATAAATGATAATATCCAAAGGTGATAAAGAAAATTGGTTATAGAGATTTAAGAATACTGATTTGGAGAACGTTAACACGATGACTAATGTGTCGCCAACATAATACAAACTAGAGTCACCAGGAAGAGGGAAGGAACATCAGAAGAGAAGACCCTCCATCAGGTTGGCCTGTGGGTGAGGTTGTGATACATTTCTTGATTAATGATTGATGGGAGGGCCCCGTTCATTGTGCATAGTGCTACCCTAAGCAGGCAGGTGGTCCTGGGTTACATAAGAAAGCAGGCTGAGTAAGCCACAGAGAACAAGCCAGGAGACAGAGTTCCTCCACGGCCTCTGTTTCAGTTCCTGCCTCGACTTTCTTTGACTTACCCAAGAGCTATAAAACGAAATAAATCCCTTTTCCCACCTTAGTTTGTTTGGATCTGTTTTATCACAGCAACAGGATGCCAACTAGTTAAACCCATTTGAAGTTCATTTCCGGTATCCACAGTAAGGTGCTCCAGTTATTTCTCCCAAGATTGTTAGCCAACCATTTCAAACCATTTACTTAATTTCCTATTGATAATGCTTTTTAAAAAGCATGTACCAATTCTTACACATGCAATATTTCTAGACAATATCTTTTGTTTCATTAACCTTTTGTTAGTCTTGAACTATTACTGCATTTTTAAACACCATGCTTGACTTGCTACCTGGCCCAACAGCTCTTCCCTCCCTCTGAGAAGAGCTGCTTTGACGGCTGGGGTCTGAGTGAGGGCTGTGGATGGACAGTGATAGGTGGTGACACCACAGCAAATGAAGCCCTTGGGGTTAACCGGACTGCGGATCAGAATTGCCACCTGTGGGATGTTACCAGAATGCCAGTCAGAAGGTCAAGAGCTCTGCCTTCTGAGGACAATGGAAAGACAATAATACCAAACTAATTAATTAAATGCTAGACATTGAATGAGAATAAGTACGATGTTACTCTGTGTCATAAAGAACTAGGCATGGAGGGGTAAAACTTGGTGGGGAAACCCTTAAGGCCCTCATACCACCTCCAATTTTCTGCCTATGGAGTAGGAGACTATTGGCTGTCGGTAAGTAACACTGAAACTGCATTTCAACAGATCAGAGAAACACATGCATACATTATATGTATGTATGTATGTATGCATGCATGTATGTATATATATACATGCAGATCCAGTGTGCTGCTTTGCCACAACTTCTTCCCAAAGAATTCTCATTTAATTTTCCCAAATACATAGCTTCCCTGGGGATAACTGTTTCTTTGCTGTATGCTAATCCCTTCTCTGAGGGGCTCAGTAGAACTTTAAAATACAAAGAAAATTCAAAATACCTTCTTAATCACATAGCCTATAAATCAAGGGGGAAATTTTTAATGAATAAAAATATTCAGTCTCATGTATGACTTCTCTACATCCCAGGCACAAAGTGGGGAGCCAAGGGCACATGCTCATGTTTAATGAATAAATGTATTCAGTCTCATGTATGACTTCTCTACATCCCAGGCACAAAGTGGGGAGCCAAGGGCACATGCTCATATTTTCCCCTGTGAATACAACAGCAAAGTAGAAGGATGCTGTGTGCTCAAACAATGGAATCTGACAACTGAATAGGAAGTGGACTAAAAGTCTTGAGCTTTTCAAGAGCCCGTTCTCCAGGACAAAGGATCCCATTCATTACCCACTTGACTCCTGTCCCCTCCATCTTCCACAGAAACACTGTTAATGTCATGCATCCTGTCACCAAAAAGTAAACTGTGGCCACATTTGCTTAGGGGCACTGCTGAGTTCATCTTGCTGCCTCTGTTGAAATTCTGGCGTCTCCAGTTTAGGGCGACTGTGAGAAACAGCATCTCACTACCCATGAATGAAGGAAAGAGATGAGAGTAAGTGATGCTGAGTTATGCTGATGCAATGGCACATTGTGCTGAACCGTGTCATCATGTGCATTAGCCAGGAGACTTTCCAAGGCTCTGAAATGGGTGTCTCCATTTGAAGTGTTCAAATGGGAGATGGGAGAATATGAAAGACCCAAATGGGCTGTGCCTAAGACCAAGCCGTGGCCCATTATGGAAAGTCCAGAGTCAGAAGTTGTCATCTTCCTGTGGTCCCCCCGGGTGAGCTCTGGGGTCTCCTGGTGATTGAAGAGGGCTTTGCAAGGAAGAGCTGCATTGATAAATAATGCATTTCCTTTGTCTTGCAGGAATTCTGGAGGCAGAGGTACAATCAGATCAGCTGTGAACAGCTTACATAGCAAATCTAATAGGTTTGTAAATTAGATTTTGTGTTCATTTGTTTTTGCTGTAAGGCAGCTATTAATCTGCCTCTCCTCTTTGCTGGGTGGTGCTCTTCTTACTTCGCAAATAGATCTGTTTCATTTCACTTTGGTTTTGCCTTTCCTTAATCACTTTTGAGGGGAGCTGTCAGTGGGAGATTACATGAAATGGTCCATGAGGTTAGAGAGACTTCAGAGATGAAAAACACAGGTGGGTAAAAAGTTACCTTCTGGAAAAGAACCCACCCACTTTATAGAGCTTGAACTACCACCAACTTTCTTGTAACCTGCATTTTTGCTGAGCAGTGGAGCCCCTGAAGCAAGCCAGGACTTCAATCCAATTTCATTGTAGTTGATGGCTGGTCTGGGAGGTTGAGACAGGGATAAAGCATTCAAGAACTTTGCTGAGACATCTTAAAATATGTAGGAAGTCAACTAAGTAATGTTAACTCTAATTATTGGATTGCATTCTAAATTCTGAAAGAGCGCTCTTACATTGCATGACTGGAAGCCTTTGGGACAGTCCTCAGCTAGTGGAGACATTGGTGTAGGGAATTGTGCAAATGCTTTGCAAAGCAACAAACCCAGATGCACTGCAGATACCCCATGCTTCTTATTCTCCATTCTCCACTAAATGACCTCTGTGGCAAAGCCCAAGCTTAAGGAGCAGGGATGCAAGTACCAAGACCCTTGGCATGAACCAAGGCTACTGTTAAAATTAAAGTTCTTGTTTTTCCTCCTCATTGTCTTGTTTTGATAGTGTTGGCAATGAGAGGTCCTCAGCATCCAGAAGCTACCACATTCAGTTTCGTTATTTTTTTTTTTAGGTCTTTTGATCAAACCCAGTCTATAAAGTATATCTGATCTTGACCTTGCATAACTGGCTTGAGAAATTGTCCCCTCTATCCTTGACATCATCACCTTTACCGCTCTAGTGGCCACAACCATATGGCACTTCAGAAGAAGCTTATCTTTTGGCTAAAATGCAAATACTGCACAAATAAAGAAAGTCACATGCCCTATACGTCCCTCTGTTCTACTATGGAAAGATGCCCCCTTTTGGAGACAGGTGACCTTACCCCCCAAGGTCCTGGTCTCCATGGTAACTTGAGGAGGCACAGCCAGATTGAGTCTGAGAACTGAGCAGAGTCTTAGAAACCAGGAATCCCTGGATTCAACCCTGAGAGTTCTAGGTAGGGCTTCAGGCAAGTACATTCAACTTCTGGATCTCAGTAACCCACTCAATTACAGTGATAAAGTGGCAAGTTTGAACTACTGACTGTAAGAGTCTACATAGCCTAGTTTCTGAGATGATCAAGATATTCAGTGGGTGCTTGCTGCTGTTACTGAATGCATTGATAGCATCTGAGACTGGTGGCTGAGGGCAAAGTTCAAGAGCTGAAAGGTAAAGCGACTCAATCCAAAAATGTACCTGTAGTGTTTGGAAGATGAGAGAAGGGTCCTGGGACTGAAGGGCACATTCACAGAAGAAAACCAATCTCCCTCAGTAGTCCAGCTGGGCTTGCACAGCACAGAACATATGACACATGTAAACAGCTAAGCTGTCCCCTTAATTGTATAGACATGAAGGCAAAGGCCAGAAGCCTGAAGGAAGCTTCCCATGCCTACTAGCAAGATAGTCACAGAGCCAGAATTGAAGTTTAACACCAAGAATGTCTATGCGAGATCTCCCTGCTAGGAACTAGGGTCAGAATGACACGTTACCATTATCAGTGTCTGGATCCTTCACTTCTTTTACCACCTTGTGCCCAAGAGAAGCCTAGAGACTCCACCTAGAGATTTCTGAGCAGGTCCCCACAACAAGCCTGCCTCCATGAGTCCATAACCCTGCAGATGTTTTCTTCCTGATGCCATTGCAAAATGCCCAGTTTCTGGGGAGCATCACCAAGGACCAAATGCACCTATAACTACAAGATGCCAGTCACCATGCTTTTAGGAAGACCATATCCCCATCCCAAACAGTAAAATAATTCCATCACTCACCCCTACTAATGTAAGTTGCTGTGAGTATTGGAGGTCTTAGGACGTGACAGCTGTACTCATGGTCCTGGGTTCACTGTCCTTGCCTCTAGCCACACATAAGTAGGCAGTAAGTACCAGGGCTGGGAAGATAGCTCAGTGGGGAACATGTTTGCTGCAAAAGTATGAGATGATGTGTTCAATCTGAAGAACCCACATTCAACAACAACAAAATTAAAGTCAGTTTCAGAGGAGACTGGAATCTTAGCCCTTGGAAGGCAGAAACAGTTCTCTGGGGTGACTGGATAGATGACAGTCCAGATGAACTGGGGAACTCCAGGTTCAGTGAGAGACGCTGTCTCAAAAAATAAGATGGAGAATAACTGAAGAAGACACCTGGTATCCTCCTTTAGCCAAACCACACACACACACACACACACACACACACACACACACACACACCAGTACCAGAGGGGATGCAGTCATGCCAGCCTTCGTGGAACCTTGGGAAGTGTAGGAAACACAACGATCCTTTAAGAACTCTAGAACCTCAGAGTCTCTTAGATCCCTTCTTTCTGTAAATATCTACAGGTGGCTTGGAGAGGTAAGGTGATTTGCCCACTGATGTCCTGTTTGTGAAATACTTCTATGGTATATTCTGCTTCCCTTCCATGAAACCATAAAAATTCCAAAGTTTGGGCTTTCTGTTTTCTCCCATAACAATCCCTTAAGCCTGAGTGCTAGATAAAGTACATTAGACACACTCTGAACCCTTTCATGGTCTATCCTCTGCATAGTTACCTGGTCTGTTTTCTGCAAAGCTGCAAAATAAGAGACAGAGGAACAAGGAATATGGAGGGATGGAGGTGAGCAGACGGGGCAAGAGTGCCTTACAGGATAGAATCCTAAACAGAATTTCTTCTCTGCCTGCATAGACCCTAACGAGTATAGAGTTCATGCTTTGCTAACAGGGTTTCATCTTTCTGAACTTCGCCATTCCGAGATAAATGTAGAGAACAGAGGTGTCTGGTTTGAACTCTCAAAAGCTCTAGAATTCACCATTACAAACCCACTTATCATTCTACCTGGGAGAATGTGTTGCTGGCTAGACAAAAGGAACTTGGGATGTGACCCACATGTATCTGTGTGCATTGGCAGGAGGCAGGCCGGCTTCTAGACTACCTTCTAGTAGTCTGCTTTCTTAGAAACCTACTAGCATAGATTTCAAGTATCTGAGTTCCAAAGTCCTCCTGTGCCTGAGTCAGACAGGAAGATGGTTTATATCTGGCATAGAGATCTGCCTCAGGAATACAAAACCAGACAGCTCCTTCCTCCATGCCAGGCTCCTCGGGACCAATTTCAATGTCAAACTCAACAAGTGGTTATTTACTGCACACCTGCTATGTTAAATCGTTATGAAATGGACACATAAGTGAGAAAAATCCCACACTTAAAATCTGATAAGACAGCCAAATACAAGACTAATAACTCAATCATGGGTGGGTATTTTTTCCATGAGCAAAGAAAAGTGGGGGGATGGAGGACTAATGAGATGGCACCGTGATCAGTGGGATACCCAACAGAGACTGACAATCTAAATTCAATCTCCAGAACCCACATGGTAGGAGAATGGACTCTTGCCTGTTGTTCTCTGACCTGCATACACACACACACACACACACACACACACACACACACACAGAGAGAGAGAGAGAGAGAGAGAGAGAGAGAGAGAGAGAGAGAGAGAGAGAGAGATGTAATTTGAAAAGGTTTTAAAAAGACGACAGTGATAGGAATTGAGGGGAGGGGGGTGAAGCCACAGGCTGCACATACACTGTCCTGCGTGGGGTTTAGCTATCTCTTTAAGTTTGTGACCCATCATGTGATAGTCTACACTGTACCCTTGTGGGCTCTTCTCTGTAGCTGAGAAGGGAAAGTGTACTGTCTTGGCAGAGACTGCCTGTTCCCCTGGAAGCTCAGAGACGGGAGGAGGGAAGAGCAGTTGTAGGGCCCCACTTCCTGCTTCTAAGAACCATTGTCTGCGGGATATTCCTGAGGGAGAGAGTTCGTACATTCTAGAAAATAAATAGACTTCCCTTCTCAGGTAATAACGTCAGTTTCGCTCTTGTGAAGTTTACATTCAAGCCTGTGCAAAAAACAAAACTATTAGACTTGTCATGGGAAGACTCACAGATCCTGTCTACCTTCATGTTTTTTTTTCTTCCCCCGTCCAGAGCTGAAGTTGTAATAAATGGCTCTTCATTGCCAGCCGTTGTTGACAGAAGTCACGAAAGCATTAAGCACAGCATCCAGCCAGCTTCATCCCGATGGAGACACAACCAGACGCTCTCTCTGAGGATCAGGTAATCGCCATTACCTGTAGGACCAGAGAGAGGCAGGCCCAGCTTTCTTTACACGAGTCACCAAAGAAGTCAGGATAGAAATAAATGTTTCCCTCCTGAGGAAGCAGGTTTTGTCTATTAAATGATCAATTAAAAATCAAAACCTGGGGCAAGCCCAGCCCATGTAGATATGCAGCCATTTGGGCAAGGGGAGGTGGCATGTGTGACCAACCCCCTAGGGTCCTTGGGTTCAAGTCAGGAGCTCTGCTTCTGGGCAGTGCAGGTCACAGGTTTCTTCCTCTGGCATAAAGAGTTGTCTCTTGCTTGCCTTTAGCTGGTGCTTACGTCCCCATTCTGTGACAGTCCTTCACCTTGTCTGCCGCCTCCCAAGGCACTTATAGAATGAAAGGCTGTCTCCCTACTACCACCCACATGAAAATTCAGAACCATAGCTGAGTGGCAAAGAACTGATCAGACATCTGGTCGACCACCAAGAGAATGTCTAAGTCAGAGAAAAGTTTTTGTTCTGACCTTGGCACCCTCAGGCATCAGTCATTCTTGGGTGGTGGACATGGAGAGAATTTACAACTTTGGCACTTGGGACTTTGGGCTCAGGTGCAGTCATGACTAACACATCAAGATGCTTATTTCCAGGCATTGAGCTTTGGCCCAGGCTACTGGCATAAATAGATATGTTAGGCAGAAAAATACAAAAATAAGCAAAGACAGGATAACATGGTAGGATGCTCACTAGACAGTACTATGTCTTGCAAATAGGTCAAGCCAAGGAGATTGTACTGAAGGGAGTCATTCATTTTCTAAGGGTTCCAAGAGGGCTACCAGGAAACAATATAACAATATGTTTTGAAGGACAAGTAGGAGTTTATCTGGTGGACCATGCTGCATCCTGCATGCACATGGTCTGAATGGTATATGTGACCAGGGCTGAAAGGGTACTGAACAGAAGATAGGGGATGGGGGATGGGAATGAGGCAGCTAGGACCATGTAAGAAGGAAAGGCTTGATTCCCCCAGGCCATCAGTATGGTGAAGGAAGGGTGAAGAGTCGTATATAATATAGCACAAAGCAGCGTGTTCCCCCTCCAGTGACTACGGCATAGCTCTAGATGCTTCATGGGGAGAGGAAAAGGGTGTGGGGCTAAAACAGCATTGACATCTGAGAGCCTGGTGACTGAGAGGCCACCTGGAGGAGCTGCCACCAGGCCCTCTCAGCTCCTCTTTGGGGGCCCCTAAGGGAGACCTCCATTGTCGTACTGTCCTAACAGCCATGCCCTTTCCTCTGTGGCACCATGGAGCTGACAGTCAGCTGCACAGCAGCAACCCCCATCGGCCTGCGGCTAAAGCCACAGCAGTTATTCTCTCCCAGATGGTTCTAGAAGCCAGAGTTCTGAGGGCTGTCTCAGGAGCTCCAGGAGAACCCTTCTTATAGTTTCTGCTGGCTTCCGGTGGCCCCGGGTGTCCCTGTAGCTGTATCAGCCTGACATCTGTCTATCCTGTCCCCTCGTCTGAGTTGGTGTAACCTCAGCCTCCATCTCTCACAGGACACTGTCACTGGATTTTAGAGCCCACAGGGAATTCAAGATGATCTCATCTCAAGACCCTTAATCACATCTGCCAAGACACTGTCTCTAAGTAAAGCCACACTCACAGGTTCCAGGGATTCAGAGTTGGCCATATGTTTTGGGTGGCCATCATACTCCATGCCCCCCACTATAGCACCTGAGGGTAAAATTCTCCTGCCAGCATCCACCCACCTCAGCTCCTTCTGGCCCTTTTCTGTAGGAACTCTGAAAAGAAGGTGGGTAATGGAGAGGCGTACACATGCATGCACACATGTGAACACACACACACTCACATACATGGGTATGCACACACAGACACATACACCCTATTGGTGTATGTGTATGCACGAGGATACCATTGCTTCTATAAGGAGCCTGTAGACACCAGCCACTGTAGAAGGAACAATCTGCCTCCACCCAGAGGGAAAAGGAATTTCCCTCCACTCAATTAGTTGCCAAAATTATTCACAATAAAAGATTCTGTGAGTGATTTGGAATGATATTTAATAATTGATTGTAATTTCTCATAATTAGTTAGAAATTAATTCCCTCACAGAGGTATTTATTTATGAGCTTTCTGGGGGGCTCTCTTTGCTTTTAAATACTTTGGGGTAAGTAATTGCAAGGGATATTAGCAATTTCCAAAGTATATTAGCGTGTCAAGTTGTATAATCTTCAGTGAAGTGGAGTAAATAGAACGCTTTTGTTTCTTGCTAAGAAGTAAGACGTGCTCAGCCAAGGTGGCTTCTTGCACAGTAACCAGAGACTCCAGTCACTAATGTGCAGTGGCTAGTGGATGGAGTGAGCCGTGCCCAAGGGTGCTGACTGCCCCTTGGTTGTCTCAGAACACTCCAAACCCCGATGTATATCAGTCATCTGACCCAGGCTCCCAGGGGGTCACATTTTCTCAGGTAGCAGTCATAGCTTCTAGATTCTTTCAAGTTTCCAAGTATACACACTTGCAACTCCTAGGACTTGCCATTAGGGTGTGCACCATTTTTGTTTGTTTGTTTTCTTTTTGTTTGTTTGTTTGTTTGTTTGTTTTTCAAGACAGGGTTTCTCTGTAGCTTTGGAGGCTGTCCTGGCACTTGCTCTGTAGACCAGGCTGGCCTCAAACTCACAGAGATCCACCTGCCTCTGCCTCCCAAATGCTGGGATTAAAGGCATAAGGCGTGTGCCACCAACGCCCAGCTTTTTTTTTTTTTTTTTTTGGCGTACACCTTTTAAGCTCTGCAGGTTCGAGGCTCAGTGTCACCCTATGCATATCCAGGAAGAGACACACCTTTACAAGTAACGTGAGCATTCTGAAATGGGATGAAGACAAGCTTCCAGGGGTTGGTTCTCAGTGGGGGCTTGCTGCAGGCAACACAATTCGATCATTGGACCCAAGCACCCAGTTCCTTTCTCCGTATGACTACAATCACCACCGAGTCTTAAAATGGTAGCTTAGGCATCTCATGTGTCTGCCATCTGTGGGTACATGTGCGTATGTAGGCATGTGCACGCAGAGGGCAGCGGTCAGCCTCTGGCATTGTTCCTCACGAGCTGTCCACATTGGTTTTCGAAACAGTCTCTCGTTAGCCTGGAACCTGCTGAGTAGGCTAGACTGTGTGTCTTCCTGTCCCCAGCACCAGAATGACAGGCACCTGACACTGTGCCTGGCTTTTTTTTAAAGTGGGTTCCTAAGATGAGACTTAAGCCCTCAAGCTTGCATGACAAGCACTTCACCAACTTGGCTTCCCTAGCCCCTTAAGCAGTTCCTTTGAAAATTTAATTAAAATATAATTACATCATTTTCCCCTTACCTTTTTTCCCTCTAGCCTCCCTCATGTATCTGCAGCCATTTCAAATGCATTTTGTGTGTGTGTGTGTGTGTGTGCATGTATGTATATATGTGTATGTATATATTCCTAAATATATAAACACAAACTGCTCAGTCTATACATTATGTACCTATATGTCAGGGCTGACCACTTGGCATTGGATAACCAGTTGGGGGCTTTCAGTACTCCTTAGGTGTTTGTAGTTCTTTGTCTAGTGTTTTGGGCCCTGTGAGAGTTCTCCCTTCCATATTAGAGTGTCTTATTCAAGTCCTTAGGTTCTATAAGTGGAGCTCCAAGCTAGTGCTCAGGCTACTAGGGACAGGATGTGTTCGGGGTAACTTCTGGTGACTTCATGAAGAGACCTATTCCAGTGTCTTCCATCCTTTCCCTGTGCTGTTCTAGAACTTTCCCTATAAACCTAACTTAACCTAGAACCTAGAGAACTATATTTTGATCACTTTGTTCTGAACACACACAGAGGAACTGGTCTCTGTAGGACCAAGGAGATGTCGTAATTCACAAACCCCATCAGACCACAACTAGAGGAATAAGAGGCAGTCCACAAAATGGGCCAGTGCATAGGCCGGGAGGCCATGGTCACAGGATCTGACAGGTGAAAGTAGTAATTCCCCATCACAGTTCCACAGACCCATGTAAACCACTCCACCCCTCCCCCGTGGTCACCATGCCTGAAGAAGGCTTCCTGGAAAAGCAGAGGCCAGTGGGGAATGAGGACACACATTACTCTGACTCCTCTTTTTAGATCTCCCTGTTAGAGGGTAGTTCCCCTAAAACAGGCAGTTTGATCCAGGGTGGGTCAACGGGCTGGGTTTGACCAGTACTGAAGGTTTCCTACTATTGGTGCGGTGCCCTTCTGGCTAGGGTCTTTTGTAAAGTCAGAGAGCACCCCTGAGGGAATTTGAGCTCTGGGTATGCTCACCTGTTTGCTGGGTGATAGGTTCCTTGCAGGGTGACATGGAGTAGAACATCTAAGCCAGTAAAGAGCATCTAACAGCATGGAGACTTTCTTTTTTGGTTTTCACAGGAAGCAGATTTTAAAGTTCTTGGATGCAGAGAAGGATATTTCTGTCCTTAAGGGGACCCTGAAGCCTGGAGACATTATTCATTATATCTTCGATAGAGACAGCACAATGAACGTGTCCCAGAACCTCTATGAACTCCTCCCCAGAACCTCGCCACTGAAGAATAAGCATTTCCAGACTTGTGCCATTGTGGGCAACTCGGGGGTCTTGCTGAACAGCGGCTGTGGGCAGGAGATTGACACCCACAGCTTTGTCATAAGGTAACCAACCACCTGCAAGGGTTTGGGCCCCGAGTGGCAGGCATACTGAAGTGACTGAAACAAGGCACATGAGTTAGATGTGTCCTGTTCTCAACCTCCATTGCTTGTCATAATTGCTATGGGGGAACATTGGTTATTTGTCTCATTGCTGCACCCAAGCATCTAACAAGAGCAACTTAAAGGAGGAAGGGCTTGTTTGCGTGCATGGTCTGAGGGTTCGTCACGAGGAAGGAGAAGGCATGGCAGCAAGAGCATGAGTCAGCTGGTGAGACTGCACCCGCAGTTAAGAAACAGAGATAAATGCTTTGGCTCAGCTCATTTCTCCCCTTCTTATTCAGCCTGGAAACCCAGCCTATGGAATGGTACAACAACATGAGGGGTGGGGCTTCCTTCTTCAGTCAAACCTCTCTGGAAATTTCCTCAAAGGCATATCCACAGCCAGGGGATTCACAGTGAAGAGTATATCACAATGACAATGAAGATTAGTGTCACAGGGATCCTTATCTCCAATCAGAATGTACATCTAATCAACTAAGTCACCTCAGGAACAGGAAAGGGGCTTTGTGTGACCCAGAGAGCCCACGTGATTCTGTATTATATCAAAGTTGGGAATCACAGAGAAAAAGTGCAGAGGTGGGCAGAATATGGCCCTTGGCATGTTTTTTAAATAAAACGTTATTATAACACAGTCACTTAAGCCCACCCTCACGCTATTAATAACTTTCTGGGCAAAGCTGGGATATTTTTGCTAAGGCATACAGCCTGCAAAGCTGGAAGTATTTATTGCCTGGCCCCTTACAGAAAGAACCTGTTCTCTGAACACTAGACAGAGCCTGGTACAAAAGGGATTAACGAAATCTGGATGGGTATTTCCTGTGCCAGGAATGTAAAAGTCTTCTTAGTATTTTGGAAGGTGATATTCCACCTGTAACTTTAGTATCCTGGAGTCAAAACCTAGTGATATAAAGAAACTCAACAGTCATTTTCTCTATGATACCAGCTCTTTTTTCACCATCACTGGGGACATTGTGACAGTTGCCCATGGCCCTGACACCTGACCCTCGAGCCATACAAACCTAGAAACAAGGCATTGCTGTCTCCTGAACAAAAGTAGGACGCAGAAAGTGCCTCAAGTTTCATTCCAAAGCACACCCATCCCTAGTAGAAATGTGTGTCACATCTCACATTTCTGTTAGGACTGCCTTGTGCAAAGAGAATCTCATTCTGGGGCTTTGGGAGCATCATGACCAGAGAGTTCCCGGAATCTGAGGACATGGGAAGAAAATGAGTATAAAATTATTCTTGCATCCCCTGAGACCTGAGGTGCTACAACAGCCTGGGTACCAGTTACTTCCTTGATCAGGTCTCTCTGTGCCTGGCAGAGCCAATGTAGCTCTATTCCTACATTTCCAAGTCCTCCCGTTTAAAGAGAGGGTCTGGGAGAAAAGAAAGGAAAATGTGTGGGAACTTGTCTGATTGGAAGCCCGAGGGGCGAGGGGTAGGAGCATGGCTATTAAAGTAGAAGACACAGGGAAAAGCCTCCTCCCAGGACCAGCTCATCTCCGGGGTGCAGACTCCAATGAGGAGCCTCTCTGACCTAGTATAACTCTTGCGGGACTTGCAGGAGTTATGAGTAATGAGTTTCAACAGTCTGCTTGCCATGCCACACTAAGCCCCACTCCTAACTGAGGAACAAAGATTCACCCTGGATATGCTTGGTATTAATCTATGACCCAGGGTCCCAGGCTGAATGAAAAGAGAAATTCTAGAAGTTTTGACCAGGGTCAGTCCATAGTTCCCGGTGTGGGTTCTGAAGCTCAGTCCTGACTCTAATGGTCATTTGTCATGTGACTTGAAGCTTCTCTGGAGGGAGCCTTTCTTGGGAAGTTTTCTTGAACCTTTTTGGGGCCTGCTTAAAGTTTTCTTTACATCGTTGAACGAGTCTCTGTGTTGTCAATCCCCGTCACCCTCCGCACGTTCTCGGACACAGGCTGCGCAGCTGACGTGGCAATTGGAGGTCCCACCGAGATTTGAACTCGGATCACTGGATTCAAAGTCCAGAGTGCTAACCATTACACCCATTTCCTGGACCTTGGTTGCATCTGCAAAATGCTTGGGCTGCACTGACTGATACTAAGGTCCTCCCATGAAGCCTTTCCAGATGCTAACCCAGCTTTCTCCACACCTCAGTGTGGACCCATATCTGCTGACTTATTGAAATACAGGGGCATCAGATACGAAGTGAGCCTGAGACTTTGGATTTCCCACAAGACCACCAGGGAGGTATGATGCCAGATGTACTCAGAGAGGCTAGACTGACTATAGCCTGCTCCACTGACCCCAATATCCTGGAGCACACTAATACTCACACACACATACAATCAAAAGAACATGAAGCCATGCATGTTAGGCAAAATAACATGAGCATGCCCTGTGTCCCCACATGATCGTACATTAAGCATTCATTCTCTAAAAACCCTGCATCTCCACTGTACTACCTCACCCCCAGACAGCGAGCTCCTAAAATAACAGCAGCTTTTGTGTCTGTGTCTTGATCTCCAGACCAAGGTGTGTGTAGTACACAGGAGGACCCCACAGGGCTGCAATCCAACGCCAAACACTGAAACAGTCCAATGGTCTCCTGCCTTCATCTGTCAAAGTCTGCAAAATTAGTTTCCCTTATTTATGTCTGACCCTGCCATGTACAAGACACACAGGATTCTGCCACCCCCACAGAACAGGACCCCAGGAGTCCTAGTAGGTCACAGCATACACAGAACACAGTGAGCTTGCAATGTGCAGCGTCTCCCACAAGGAAGAGCAGACCGCAAGGGGAAGGATGGGGCAGAAAGTCCAGGAGGCTCTACTGAGCAGATAGATGCTGGCTGCACACTGCCTTCTGGGAACTGAGAGGACTGGGACAGGCAGGCCTGAGAGGTGACACAAAACTGCAATGCCGGATGAGAGATGCCAGCCTCAGCTTCCTTCTTCTGAGACACACACACACACACACAAACACACACACACACACACACACACACACACACACACGGGTAAACCAACATCAGCACAGTCCCTTAAGACGTGCTGTGCCCTCAGCATGATATTAAAAGCATGCTCGTGGCATTTGACGTTAGCCTGTGCACATCTCTGAGTTTATTTAACCTCCCCCACTATCCTTTCCAGTGAGGAAATTGAGGAATGGATCCAGGTGACTAGCTACAACCAGGGTTAGGCTGAGGAACTGGCGGTCTGGCTTCTGAGTCATGACTGCCCCCTCATCTTGAGGTCCACTCCTCCTGTACCTGTGGATCCAGTTATTTCTGGAAGGGGGCAACTCCCTTCCTGCCAGAAGCCAGGCCCATCCGCAAGGCAGCTCCTTCCCCTAGAATTCTCTTTGAACAAGAGAGCCTGGGTCCACCAGAACCAATGTCAGGACTGCCCTCCCAATGAAAAAAAAAAAAACATGTATTCTTTGTCAGTAGGAAGGAACATTTTCAGAGTCTACCCATGGCTCAACTGTCTGCCCCCAGCCACACGTGCCTATGGTAATGTCCCCCCTAAGACACACCACTGGGCAAGCTTGAGCCCCACAGATCCCATTCCCGCCCTGACCCCATGTAGGTATGAAGTCCCTGCTGCCTGCCATGAATGGTCCTACGCTCAAGGGCACAAACACCCTGATGCTGCTTCCTGTGGAGGCCTTTCAGATCCTTGTGATAGTAATCAGTGTGTTCCCCGCCGCCTGCTCAGCCCTCAAATCTGCTGGATGCCCACTAAACCTCGGCTTCCTTCTCTGCCCCACTATAGTAAGTGATGGTCTCCAGTGAGCCTGCCAGGATTAAATGCCCCGGACTCTGCTCTCAGGGCTAGGGAGTCAGTCCACAAACAGTCCCAAGGCTCAGGAAAGTTGTGGAAGCCTGGCTCAGCTGGCCTCAGAGTAACAGGGAGATATGGGTGGCCCCAGACAGGCCACCGTGCACCAAGTGCCTCCCACTCTCTGTGGCCTGGAGCAGGGCCATCTGAAGAGGTCCCCGGCATCTCTCCTCCCAATAATATTTCCCACAGTCGGAGATAGCAAATCTGGGGGTGGATCAAGAGGTATTTGGGGAGGCTCTAACGAGTTCACGAGCTTCTGAATCCTTCCTGGCTCCAGGAATTTGGGCAAGTTAGTTGGCAACTGAGGACTTCCTTCCTGTGTCTCTAAAATGGGCTCGTGAATTCAGGTTCACAATAAGAATAAGCTGATACTAGCCAAGTGGTCAGTGTAGCCCAAGGCTCAGTGATGCCAGTGTGCTGTCGACTCAACTGGCTTTCTTCCCCAGAGGAAGAAGAAAAGTTATTGCTTAAAGGCAGGGGCAGACGGTGTCTGTGTTACACTATGAAGTGATGGCGCCTGGCCCCTCACTTACGTGTAGTCAGCCTCTATACTGTTCGTACTTGCTCTGAGTTCTCCATTTATTATCACTGATCCAAAGATTCTTCTTACCATCCACTTCTCCAGGGATGACAGTACTTCCTGGCTACAGACTTAGTCCCAGAGGCCCTCACACCAGAACCCTTGAGGGAGGGACCCGAGGCAGACCTTCAGTGAGCAGGCAGGCTGATTGGTTCAGCAGGAGAATGCAGGGTACAGGTCTGGCCATTTGCCCTTTTCCTCAGGACCCTCCCAATGGCTCCCTACTGCCTCAGAGCCAAGTCTTTGCATATGCAACCTCTGATATCTCATCTGGCTTTGCCCCATTCCTGTCTCAATTTTGAAATACCCATTAGTCAGACCAGTTCACAAACCTCCTCTAAACACCCCTGCAGTTTCACACTCACTGCCCTCGGGCAAATTCCTTGTGCCTAAAATTCCATAGCATGGTGTCTCTTCAGCTTCTTGGAACCCAAGGAGGAAGAGATTTTTAGAAAGTATATGTATGCACATGCATATACATATATACATATAAATTCTTGAGCTCTGAGGCCTGCTGCCTCAGGACCTGGGGAAGCCTAGTTTTAACAAGTCTCTGCGGGGTCCTTCTGACTTTACAAACTGGAGACAAGCTCTTCCGTGGCCGTCCACCAGTGCTCCTCTGCTCATCCATCCTTCCATTTCTCTCCCTGCTCTGATACCTGTAGTCCTCTACCCCATGGAAGACTGACAGCAGCTAACATGGACAATGCTCTCGCTATGGGCCAGTAGCATTCTGAGTACCCACGGTTCTTGTGGTCCCTGCCACAAGCCAAGGTCATGGAAGCTCTCAGGAAACACAGAGAGGCTGAGAAAGCTGCCCAGGGCCACACAGGTAGAGCGTATCGGATCTGAGTATGGAACCTAGAACTCTGTCTTCTGAGCCTTCTGAGGGGTCATCTAATGTACCAGGACACATCTGCTAGGAGCTACATCACTGTGGGGTTCGGGGCTAGCACTGTTGCTCCTCTTTTTAGATACTGGCCTCCGAGAGAGTGGCATTTTGTGTTTAAGGATATGACAGGGGCTCAGTAAACCTTTGAGGCAGGTAGGAAGATATAGGAAATACTTGCGGCCAGGAAATACCCATGATGCATCTGTGGTGACAAAAAAGAAAGAAACAATTCGAAGCAGAGGGCAGCGTAACGTTCCATGTAAGAAGGACCATCTTCCCCAAATGACCATGTGGCCCTTTATCCCTCAGGTGCAACCTGGCTCCAGTTCAGGAGTACGCCCGGGACGTGGGCCTCAAGACAGACCTAGTGACGATGAACCCCTCAGTCATCCAGCGGGCCTTTGAGGACCTGGTGAATGCCACGTGGCGGGAGAAGCTGCTGCAACGGCTGCACGGCCTCAATGGCAGCATCCTGTGGATACCTGCCTTCATGGCGCGGGGTGGCAAAGAACGCGTGGAGTGGGTCAACGCTCTCATCCTGAAGCACCATGTCAACGTACGCACGGCTTACCCTTCCCTGCGCCTGCTGCACGCTGTCCGAGGGTGAGTGTGCCGTAGTCGCTGAGGTTGGTCGTGTGGTAAGCCTGGTGGCCCCTCAGGTGCACTTCCATCTCTGCTGCAACACGCAGAGGCTTCTATTCATTACAAACTGTTTGGCCAATGGCTCAGGCATCTTATTGGCTAGTTCGCTCTTAATTAACCCATTTCTATTCATCTATGTATCTCCACGAAGTCTAGGCTTACAGGACATTGCCAGGGCCTCTTTCTTCCTCATCACGTGGTGTCTCTCTGGCGACTCCTCTCTATGTTCCTCTTCCCAGCATTCTCCTAGTCTGGTAGCCCCGCCTATACTTCCTGCCTGGCTACTGACCAATCAGCATTTATTCATCAACCAATAAGCATACAGAAGGACCGTCCCATCATAGCTGATTGCTCTTAGCTGGCCTTTCTGAACCTCCATCAGCAATGAGGGTGGCTTGTAAATCAGTGTCATCTGGGTGAGCTGCCCACTTCCGGTGCTCTTAAGAAAGTAACTGGAGGTTGTATTGATGGAGATGCTCTGTTCCTTCCTTGGGAAGGAAGATGGGGACTCATATGTCACATATCCACCATCTCAGGTGGGTGATTTCCACCAATGACAAATGGCCTTGACTTCAAGGTGTCACCTTAAGCTCTGTAGACTTTAATTTCCTCATCGGTAAGCAGGAGTGGGAAGGGGAACATTGCTGGGTGCAGTACCCAGCACTGCACAACCAGGCATGGTGCCTGAAGCTCAGGTGGGGGAGGCGGCAGGACCAGAAGTTCAGGGTCATCCTCAGCAACATAGTGAGTTCAAGGCCAGTCTGGGCAGCATGAGACCCTGACTCAAAACAACAACAAAAAATTTATAGAGAACAAAATTGGTTAAGTCCACACTAATCCAGTTGGACTTTTCAACAGCCCAGCCAAACTGATAATTCCTAAATTTCTAAATTTCTGCTTATTCTTCTCAGCTGTGGACCAGCCACTGGCCCACCCCCAAGGATCTGGACTAAGAAACTGCTTGGGGTCACAACAGTCAGTCGAGCTTGATGCTAAGCACTCAGTCACTTGGTTACAGTTATCCAATGCAGGGTTAGGAAAACTCAGGCTTCCCAAAAAACAATAATGTAATCTTCCCAATTGTTATCAGAGATTCGGTAACAGCTTGGCTGGATTCTGGGCAAAGGTGTACCACACAGTTACAGTCAGACGGTGGCTGGTGACAGCACATCGGGGACAGATGGTATTGGGTGCACCTCTCTTCACACCATTTTGGGATTAGAGCTTAAGCAAACAGGGGAGGGCGGTGGTACTAGCGGGAGCCTGCGGAAGCCTGGGGTGGGGTGGGAGCAGGCACTGAGCAACTGAGAACCTTCTTAGACATAAATTTGACATGGCTGTGACAAATTTGCACCACCCACTGACCTACCCAACTGCCCACTCAACCAAGGGGCCAGTCAGAGCCCTAGTCCAAAGACAGTGGAAGCTCCCAGGACAGGTTCCTTGCCAACTGAGGCATGTAGGGATGCTCTTCGGTGGAGCCTCGGTGTGCAATAGCTGGGAAGCCATCTACTGGGACCCAGTACTAATGAAAATTAAGGTGACCCTAGGACGTTTATGACTCTGACTAAAATTGGACATATTTTGATATGTGTTATCACAGGGAATACACTGGCCCCAAGACAGATCTAAAGAAACAAACTACAAGGACAACCACTTTTGAGGCTGGTGGGACAGAGTGGTCCCTGTTCCTGAGGCCCCAGAGAACCCCTTCCGAATCTCATCGCTTCATTCTGTCAGAGGGGGTCTGTCAGAGTAACCTTGCTCTCAGGGATTAAGCCCAACATGCCTTGAAGCCCTTTATTCCTGGAAGGAGGCCCCTCCCGAGTTGATTTGGAGATTCAAGGAGATGACCGAGGGCAGAGAACTGCCCTTTGGTGACAAGAGCAAAAGTCTTTTGGATGGGGAGCAGGCAGCCACCTGGAAGAAACCTCTGCAGCCACAGCTATTTTTAGCCATAATTGACTCACTTTCATCTGTCAAAATAGCATTAAGCAGCAGTAATGAGCCCTTTAAACAAACATGCTGTTGATCCTGGGTAGAAGGCAGCTCTCTTTGCAAGCACTCCAGGAGGGAATACTGCAGGAGCAACAGGTGGGCTGCCCCACCTCAAGCTTTGAGCTAGGAAAGGAGGTGCCTGGGGATGGATTTTCTTACTCAGGCCCCTTGATCTTGTGAAGTTCTGAGTCCAGTGAGAAGCCTGTGTCCTTGGGAAAGGGCTTGCCTCCATCTCTGGCCTTGCCTGGTGTTGTAAAACGGCACAAGGGAGATGTTGGTGGGTTGGAGCCAAGGGGGGCAGGGGGGTAGCAGGCGAGAGAACAATATGTCAAGCAGACAGAGCTCAGGGAGATAGAAGCTGAGCAGAGCGGTCTCGTGGGGAAAGAGAGACAGAGATGGGGGCGGGGAGGCAGAGAGACAGACGCGGAGAGGCAGAGAGAAACAGAGGTACAGAGAGGCAGAGAGGGGCCACACCTTCAAAGGAGGTGTAGCTATAGTGATGCAGCTAATGCATAGCTGATGACACGTTGTCAGGGCCCTGAGCAGGTCAGAGTACTGACTAAGTACTGGCAAGCATGTCCAGGTGACAGGGCACAGGCCAGCATAATACCTGAATGCTAACATTCCTCCCTTTTGTTTATTATAAAAAAAAAAGTTAGGGGTGGCAGGTTAGAGGAATGAGGACGCTGATCTGGGGGCATCAGAATCTTGGGGGGACTTGAGAAAGCTGAGATGCTGGCCACGTCCAGGAATTGCTGAATGTTTCACTGCTGTCCAAGCTCTGTGGGGCCATCTGGTCTTGGACCTGGCAAGCTCTTGGACCTGGCAAGATGCTTTGTCTAGGCAACGGGAGGCAGTTGATTACCCAGTGTCCTGTTGTGAATGGTCTGAAGAGGGTCTTTGCAGCAGTTGAGGTGAAGGGCAGTTTTGCTTAGTGGCTAGTACTACCACTTTTGAAGTAAGCTTCAGGTAGAGGTTCTTCTGTGTCCATCCATCTTCTTTGGAGGAAATAGGGGTGCTGCCAGGAGCTGGCATGTCTCTCTATTACTAAAATCTTTTTTTTAAGATTTATTTATTTATTATGTGTATACAGTGTTCTGCTGGCGTGTATGCCTGTACACCAGAAGAGGGCACCAGATCTCATTATAGATGGTTGTGAGCCACCATGTGGTTGCTGGGAATCAAACTCAGGACCTCTGGAAGTGCAGCCAGTGCTCTTAACCTCTGAACCATCTCTCCAGCCCCTACTAAAATCTTTTTAATTAAACCTTTTCAATGACATATGCTCAGGTCTCTGAGAATTTGAGGCCTGGCTGTCTATTAAGTATATCTGAATAGACAAACTTTGTTTCTAGGTACTTGTTTTAAGCTTAACTCTGAAAATATATAGGAGACTGGGTGAGGCTTATCCCTGTAATTAATTGCATCAGTACTCTTAGAATGACTACAATTAAAGAACTCGATAATTTATGACTATTAACTTGTATTTCTTAACAGTTTGTAATAGGTTAGTAACTCTCATAAGTCTAGGAGGACTTTACATTACATTCCTGTCAGGTTTAGCCTTAAAAATAATGATTTTGAATTGGCGCTCTTCTAGTATCTAAATAAAACCTTTTAATCATAGATAATGGTCTCAGTAAAGAAACCAAAATAGCCATTACATGGCTAAAAGCAAGTTTGTACGAAACTGTTAAGGCCGTCTCCTGGAAAGGCAAGGACAAGTGACAAGGGAAAGATCCCAGGGTGAAATGCCAACAGTAGAAGGGGCTTGTGAGCTGGGGTGTGGCCCATGAGCAGGGAGCCACAGAAGCCAACAAATGTAACCATATATTTTTATCATCATCCAAAAGTACATACCAACCTAAAATATTTGAGACTTATTGCTTTCCTTAGTCTAGAAGGAAATACAATGAACAGAGCTTATTAGGACTAAGAAGTTTACTCTTTAACCTTAGTAAAAGATGCCTGCCAGTCACGTGGCTACCTACATCCTAATGAGGTCACCAGCCAAGATGGAGAAGAGCCATGTGGTGGTTAATTAAAATGTGTCCTTCTAAACAATAGTTTACATGTACATATATGCAGAGTTGAATCCAAATTACATACACATACACACAGAGTTGAATATCTTATATTCATGCACATAGAATTAAATCCAAGTCACATACATGTACACAGACACACACACAGAGATATATAGATATATATTAAATAGGAGTTGAATACATTAAAAGAAAGGGAAAATGATGGGTGCTGAGCAAGGTGAAGCCAGCTTCTCCATCTCTTAATCCCACATTGAAGCAGACCTAGACAGGCCATTTAGAGAGGGAGAGCCGATAGACACAAACAGGTCTTGGAGCAAAGAAGAGGAAAGAAAGTGGAGAATGTTTTTTTCTGTTCCCAACTGTATGGTCCAAGGACTACTGAGGCAGAGACGGTATTGAATGAAAGGCAAAGCCATCAGTAAATGGCAAAGCAGCTTTGCTGCAGGTGGAAGAGGGCACGTCTAGTGTGGGTGGAGCAGGCAGGTAGGATCCCTGCGTGCCATGGGTGCCTGTGGCTGCCCTGCCAAGGTATGCCACCAGACAAACATTGCAAGAGGAAAGAAGGAGTAAAAGGCAAGAGACCAGGCAAACAGAATGAGCTCTGCCTGGCAGGCACTTTTAAAGGGTGCACGTGTTACATAGCTAATGCGGGAAAGAGACCCAGTGAGATGTTACTACTTTTCCAGCAGAGGCTGGGCAGTGGTATCGAGGTGGCCATGGATTGGGGGACCTGAGTCAGCATTGGTGGGGGATGGAGACATCCTCAGGTCACACCATTGCCCAGAGAGGAGTCAGGGGCAGTGCAGCAACCCGAGCTGCAGCAAGCCCTAGACAAGCCAAGGAGGGGAGGCTTGAAGCTGGGGAGTACCAACTACACACCTGCTCGCCCGCAGTCAGTGCAGGGAGAAAGAATGG